GTGAAGAAGAAGAAGAGTGAAGGAAGGGGAAGTAAGCGGCGAGGGTGACGAAGGTGATGGTGCCGGCAGCCATAGCCGAGGTGAAGGGTTGACCAAGCGTTGACTAGAGCGTTGACCAGAGGTTTGACCAGGCGTTGACCGAGGGTGTTGACCAAGCGTTGACTGGGGGTTGCCCGCGTTGACTCGGCGTTGACCAAGGCGTTGACCGGAGCTGCTGACCAAGATTTTGACCAAGCTGGAGCTGGTGATATCTCGCTGAGCCCTTAGCCTATCCCCTTACCCTGTGGATGTGCACTCACCCTACGGTACTTGCTGAGTTGATTCTGTTCGTCTTTCCTTTCTACATTGAGTCTCTTCTGTCCTAGGTGTTAGGACTCTGTGGATGAAGGATAGGGCCTTGCTGCCAAACCTGCACGGGACTTAGTAGGACTATGCTCTACTCTGACATCTGGAGACCTGGGCATGAGCGGCGAGTGCTCGTTAAACAACTCGTCTAGCCCAATGACCGGTACTGTCCAACAGGTCTACTGAGTTCAGTGTAGAGGGTCTGAACTCCAAGTTGCAGGCTGAAACGAAGGTCGTCTTTAAGTGTTGAGGCCTGGTTGAACCACTCCCCTACCGGACCTAGTAAGGTTGATGATCTGTGTCTGACGACTCGACTGTCCCGAGGGATACGAACCCCTCCAAGGACCGGTRCAGAYCGGCGGGCTGCTCGGTGTGGCACAGTAGGCCGGAACGGCTGAGTTGTGGGCTGAAATCGCCAGGAAAAACTACGCTGATCTTGTCGTCCTGACTGCGACGTTAAAGAATTCTTGAGGAGTTTGAGGGATCTCCTTAAATGCCTCTTGATCAGCTGTAAGTTCAGTAGTGACAACCTTAGAGTAGTTGTGAGCAGTGGATCCTAGAGAGTCAGTCAGTAAGTCAGTGTGTCCGGGTAAATCTAAGTGGTGAGGAGTGGGATATTGTCGTGCACCTGACGCCACGATGGACGACTATCCGATGCATGGGTTGCTGGTTGGGTTCTCTCTTTGGGGGACCCTCTGGCACCTCCTTTTTCCTCTGGGGTTCTGGCACACCTTCACGGGTAGAGTAGATACCCGGGGTGGTGCCTCCACCAAGCCATACACGAAGGAGGAGGAGGCGAAGATGGTCGCCATTCTGCAGGAGAGCAAGGAGAAGAAGGAGGCCAAGAAGAAGGCCTTGAAGAAGGAACAGGCGGCCAAATTGAAGAAGATAGAAGAAGAGATGGCCAGAGAGAAGGAGAGGATACAGAAAGAAGAAGAAGAAAAGTTGAAAGAGGTGGAAGAGGAGGAAGAAGATGAAATGCCACTGCAGAGGAAGAAGGGGCAGTTCAGTGGCAGTAGGGATGAGGAGACGGAGAAGCGGATCTCAGAGTGGGTCGCCAACTTATCCCTGGACGAAGAAGAGGAGGTGGCGATGTATATCTCTAAGGACGATCAGGAAGCCGCTATGAGAGCTTGGGAAGCAGAAAAAAATGTTGTGAAGCGGCGGGCAATGGAAGATGAGAAGAGAATGGAATGGAGGTTGGCAGTGATGAGGGAGAAGAAGAGGAGAGTGGACGTGGCAGCGGAGGCGGCAAAAAAATTAGAGGAGGTAAAAAATATAGAAGAGCAACTAGCCGCCCAGACTGAACTCCCAGCCCAAATGCGAGTCATAGCTCGAAATGTTGCCCGCCTGGCACAAATTCAGGCGGAGCAATACGACTTCAGTAGAAGCCAGCACATAGCTGTGCGTTCGATACGGTTGGGATTCCGGGACTTTGCTCGCGAGCTGGTAGACGCTGTAGGAACCGAGGTAGGCCACCGCCTTGACAAGACTGAGCGGTTTTGTGCCGGCGCCATTGAGGGCGTCAAGGCGGCAGCCCCCAAGGAGGAGGAAGCACGTCCTCCTTGTCGGGAACCGGTCAAGGTCAAATTCCCTGATTCCTACAGTGGAAAAAGGGAAGAGAACTTTGACAACTGGGAAGCCAACATTAAGACCTATGTGCACTTGCAACATGTCTCCCCGGATCAGCAGGTTCTAATTGCGATCCACGCGCTGAGAGATCAGGCCGCCAGTTTTGCAAGGTCCCTAGTTCGCGCTGCCAACTGTAGTGACGATCCCGTTGTGTACTCCTCGTTCACGTCCCTCACCGAATTCCTGAAGTTGTTGTGTGAGAGATTCGTTGATGTTGCCCGCAGCGTTAAAGCCTCAGATAGGCTGCAAACGATCCACTCTCGTAAGTGGAAGAGTGTCAGGGCCCTTAAGAGTACAATTGATGAGTTAGTGGTTGTCCCTGACCACAGGGTTACGGACACCTAGTTGGTCGGCCTCTTCTATCGGGCTATACTCGAAGCCCTTCGAGGTCATTTCTTCGCAAAGAGCGAAGACCCTGCCACTACGTACGATTCTCTTAGTCGTGAGGTGGTGGCCTTTGAGGCCAAGTCTATGTCAGTTTCCACCTTCTAGCACAAAGATTTGGATAAAGGGAAGCAATGGAAAGGCCGCACTATCTCAGGGCACGTAAAGACCAAGGACAGCCTTGTCCTGACCTTAGATGAGGGTAATGTGGATGAGATCCCCTACGAACAGATCGAGTGGGGGTTGGAGGAAGAGGACAGCGGTGTGGGACAGGGGAGGACTTACACTGCTGTCGCGGCTGGAGGGAGGCCGCAAGGAGGACGAGGCCAGAGTCAAGGGGGCTGGGCCTCAGGGAGCCGGTTTCAGGGCGATCAGGGGGTTGGCGGTAGGGGAGGAAACCGCCAAGCGGGAGGTAGGGGTCAAGGTCCCCCGCAAAACCGTCCTAGGAATAGGTCTCCCTATAGGGTAGGAGGATGGCACCCGGGGCTACCACAGGGTAGGCCTTGGGAAACTTTGGGTCTGGACCAGACTTTATGGCAACAACGATTGGACCGGGGCCAGTGCATTTTTTGCGGTGACCCGGGCCACATCATTAAATACTGTCCTAAGTATCGCGAGACCCGAACGGCTGCCCAAGGGCCAAAAGGCAGCCGCCGGTAGGGGTAGCAACTGCCCCTACCATTAGGCCATGTGGGGAACATAGCGCTAGCCGGCACGAGACTTCCACACCACATGTGCCTATGGTAGAGGTTGCAGGCCGGTGTCTAGATAGCTGCCCAGAGACCGCTTGTATTAGGGTTTCTCGCCTAGAGAAAGATGGGAAAGTGAAGAAGGTTCTCCACTCCCTGACTCTCCTCGTAGAAGACAGCCTCCCATTTGATATTGTCCTGGGAATGGATTGGGGAGAGGCAGTCGGGGCCACGCTCCATTTGAAGGAGCACGAGTGTAGGCTCCCTAGTTCTTCAGGCAAGGCTAAGACTGCCCGCTTGTTCCATGTGTCAGGAGTATTGAATCCCTTGGCACATAGCTGCCTTAGTGCTCCTGCGTTCGCCAGATTAGTGAAAAATGAGAAATTGGAGGAACAGGTTTTTGTTGCCTATGTTAGGCCAGTGACTGAGCCTACGGAAGAAAAGCCGATGGACCATGCGATGGCCAAGCTGCTGGAAGAGTTCAAAGATCTAACTGAGCCGCCGATAGGAGTGGTACCGTGGCCCATCCAGCACCGCATTGAGATAGAGCCTGGCAGTAGAACTCCTAAGGGCGCCATGTATAGGATGTCCCCACGAGAGTTAGAGGAGCTTTGCAAGCAATTAGACGAGCTCCTCGAGAAGGGTTGGATTAGGCCCAGTTCGTCTCCTTTTGGAGTGTCTGTTCTCTTTGTTCCTAAGAAAGAGGGACAGTTGAGGATGTGTATAGACTATAGGGGTCTGAATGCTATTATAGTGAAGAATGTTGAGCCACTTCCTAGGATAGACGATCTCTTAGATCGAGTGCAGGGGGCCAGGTATTTCTCTAAGATAGACTTAAAGTCCGGATATCATGAGATAGAAGTGCATCCTGATGATCAGTATAAGACAGCCTTCCAGACTAGATATGGGCACTACGAGTTCATAGTAATGCCCTTTGGACTAACCAATGCGCCAGCTACGTTCCAGCACTGTATGAATGATTTGTTTAGGCCATGGTTAGACAGGTTCGTCGTAGTTTACTTAGACGACACCCTAGTGTTTAGCAAGACCCTCGAAGAGCATCAGGGTCATCTTAGGCAGGTCTTGGAGAAGCTGAGGGAAGCTAACTTCAAGATCAATGCAAAGAAGTGCGATTGGGCGAAAACCCAAGTTTTGTACTTAGGCCACGTCTTAGACGGAGACGACGTTAAGCCAGAAGATAGCAAGATCGCAGCGATCAGAGATTGGCCCACGCCACGTACGCTGACAGAGTTGCGCTCGTTCCTGGACTTAGCTAATTACTATCGGAAGTTCGTGAGGAACTTCTCTACCATCGTTGGGTCCCTTCGCAGATTGTTGAGAAAGGAGACCATCTGGAAGTGGGATAAGTATTGCACGTCTGCCATAAAGAAGTTAAAGCAGGCATTGATAGAGTATCCAGTCCTTAAAGTCGCTCATCCGTCCTTGCCCTTTGTCGTCACGACCGATGCGAGTCAATACGGCATAGGCACAGTGTTACAGCAAGACGATGGCAATGGGTATAGACCCGTAGAATTCATGTCCGCCAGGAGGCATTCAGAGAAGGTCGCGACATCTACCTATGAGAGGGAACTCTACGCTCTCAGGCAAGCCTTAGACCATTGGAAGCACTACTTGCTTGGGAGGCACTTCAAAGCCTATTCTGACCATGAAACATTACGATGGTTAGAGACGCAGGCCAAGATGACACCTAAGCTTACTAGGTGGGCCGTAGAGATAGATCAGTACGACTTCGAGCTCAAGCCTGTCAAAGGGAAGTATAACGTAGTCGCAGATGCTCTAAGTAGGCGAGCAGATTACTTTGGGGCAATAGTGCATTACCTAGACATAGGGAAGGATCTGCAACAGAAGGTTAGAGAAGCCTACGCGCAGGACCCTATCTACAGTGACCTCCTTAAGAAAGTCAAAGAGGCCCCTGAGACTGAACCGAACTACCGCACTACCGAAGGGTTGCTCTTTGAGAAGACTAATGTATTCGACCGCCTGTGCATTCCCCGTAGCGAAGAGATTCGTAGTCTGATTCTGGGAGAATGCCACGACACAGAGGGTCATTTTGGTTGGCAAAAGACGTTAGCCAATCTAATGCGTGCGTATACCTGGCCAGGAATGAAGAATGACTTCGTAGAGTATGTTCGCAGTTGCAAAGTCTGCCAGCGTAACAAGAGTTTTACGCGCGCCCCGCTAGGTCTTCTCAGACCCTTACCCATTCCGGATCAACCGGGAGACTCAGTGTCCATAGACTTCATGGACACTCAAGTCAAGAGCAGGCATGGCAAGAGCCAAGTCATGGTCATAGTCGACCATTTTAGTAAGTATGCAGTTTTTATTCCTTTCCCGTCAGAGGCACGTACAGAATTAGTTATACAGAGGTTTTTTGACTGTTGGATGAGTGGAAATGGAATCCCACTGTCAATAGTTAGCGATAGAGATAGTCGCTTTACCGGCCAGAACTGGCAAGAACTCATGGGAGTATATGAATCTAATTTGTTGATGTCGTCAGGCCGTCATCCAGAGACTAACGGTCAGACAGAGCAGATGAACAAGATCCTACAACAAGTTTTGCGCATGTACATTAGGCCAGATCATATTAACTGGGACGAGATGTTGCCTAAAGTAGCTAGTGCGTATAATAACAGCGTGCATTTATCCACCTGCCGCACTCCCAACGAACTGCACAAGTCCTTTAGACCGCACAGGCCATTTGAGGGCCTCAACCGGGATCAGATTCACAGATTGCCACCTGGGACCAGGGAGCAAGCCAATAAGCATTGTCGCCCCTCTCAGTTCCAAGTAGGCGACTTAGTCTGGGTCAATTCTAAAGAGTTTGCACCTGAGGAGAACATCTCGCAGAAGTTACTGCCCACATATAGAGGACTGTGGCCAGTCTTAGAAGTCAAGGGCGGCGAAGATGGACCGTCCTATACCATAGAACTCCCAACACTCCTCCACACGTATCCAGTTTTCCATGCATCAAAGTTGTTACGGTGTCAAACAAGTGATCAATTTCCATCCCGTAGGTCCATGATCCCACCGGATATAGATGGAAGATACGACATTGATGGGATAGTAGCTGAAGATGTCTTCACGACTGGAGGTAGGGGTCATCCACAGAAACAGTACAAGGTTCATTTTAGTTATCAAGAACCCGAAGACGACCACTGGTTTACAAGATCTGAACTTCTAGAGACCGCTCCTCATATAATCCGAGCCTATGAGAGAAAACAGAAAGGTAAAGGTCCTGCCTTGGACTGAAATTTTCTCGGAGGACCTCCAATTTAGGCCAGCGGGAGTGAAACGGTATTCACCAGTTCGCAGTAGCGAATGCGGATCCCAGGGCTCGATCCCTAGTTCCCCGTCTTACCTGTGTACAATGCCAGTGTCAACCCGTAGATTTGAACCTGCGACCTGTAGGACCGCCAGTGGTAGGTAGGTTTTCGTAAGTCACAGGGTAGAAGGGAATCGAACTGTAGACCTGTAGAGTAGGAGTCTAGACCGTTCCGAAGTCGTAGTTGTTGGAGGCCTGAAGGGTTAAGGTCGTAGCTGCTACTTACCTGAACGGGCAAAGTCGTAGCTGCTACAGTACCGAAAGGCCAAGTTAGAGGTTTCTAGAAGTGGCCTTTCGGTGTGGACCTGCATTGAACAGAGGCAAGTGGTCAAGTGGTGGTAGGCCACCTCGCTGAGTCAACAGTCCCAGTTAGGCAGTCCATTCTTGTCCAGCAAGTACCGTCTGGGACTGTGTGCACCCGGGGCCAAGGGACATAGGGCAGACCAACGCAGTGCAGAAGTATAAATCAAGAGGCTGCTTCCAACCATTCATTCATTCCTGCGGATGCCATGTGGAAGTGCTGCCTCAGCAGCTTGTGTGAGGAGGTCTGTTGTGTGCCCGAAGACGAAGTGGGCAGAGGAGTGTAGTATAGCGCTAGGGTAGTGGCAGCTAGCGCTCCCATAGCTATAGTAGTGTGTGTGTGTGTTGCGTGTGGTTACAGAGTGTTGCATGTGGGACATCCAGGGTGATCCAGAGTGCGAACAGTGAGTTGCTTGGGCGCTGAGTCGCCATAGCCAGTAGAAGCGAACGTCCCTGAAAGACATCTCTGTGTACTGTGTGGGCGCATGTCGCCAGTTGTGTGTTGTTGTCCACGTGCATGAAAAGTGTGAATAAGTCGAGTCTGATTGCAATGCCTGCAAAAAAAAAAAAAAAAAAAAAAAAAAATTTAGGCCCAAACGAACTGCTTAATTTCAGCATTGTTAACAAATTCAAGAAACGGAACACACATAGATAGACAAAAAAAGGGAGAGGGAAAGAGAGAGAGAGAGAGGGAGAGAGGAGGGAGAGAGATAAAGGGACACAGATAGAGAGAGACAAAAGAGAAAGAAAAGACGAATGCAAAGAACAAAGAAAGAAAAACATCATTCAAGTCAAGAAGATCGTGCAAAATGATGAAGGTACAATAAGCACGAAGTACAATCCATCTCCATTTTATTAAAAGAAAACAAAATAATATTTATTTGCTCTCTCTCTCTTTCTCTCTCTCTCTCTCTCTCTCTCTCTCTCTCTCTCTCTCTCTCTCTCTCTCTCTCTCTGTATATATATATATATATTCTGTTTGTGACGATATATATATATATATATATATATATATATATATATATATATATATATTTATCTCTCTATCTATTTATCTATCTGCTTTTGTTGTCCCTCTGCCTCTCTCTCTCTCTATCTCTATCTATCTATCTATCTATCTATCTATCTTATGTAAGAGCAATCAACTCCCATCAGTGGAACGAAACTCTCGCAACATGTCACGAACAGAACTCTGTTGCAACACTTTCCGACAATAATCCTCAAAAGTTTGAAATGGATTTTGTCGATGCCGATTGTAGTCAAGATGGATGACACAATCAACAAACCTCCACGGGTTCATATCCGTATGCAACTCCTCAGCCGCTTGCACGATATCTTGCAACCTGTGAGAGCTATCAAGATAGGAGAGATGTGCATGCATTTTTTTGGGACCAACGGATGCAAGAGACTCATAGACGACAATATCAAAAGTAGAAGCAGTGACTTCTAGCAAACCTCCTATACGGACATCCAGTTGTGTAGTTGGTGAGACAGGAGCGGGGACAACGCAAGGAGCGGGAGGTGGAATAAACATAGCGGCAAGCAAAGCAGAAACAACTGTAGAAGTAGTGACGATGGGCGTTCCCACATTGGACGGTGAAGGATAATCTCCAAGACGTTGAAAATTCGCAGGAGGTGGTGCCGGTAATGACACTGGACGGACAGTAGCCAAAGGAGGAGCGGAAGAAGCAGCACCGACAGGAATTCTTTTGATGAGACTTTGTATCCGAGCATATGTGAAGAAGGGCTCCGGAATAGTCCCATCCGTCGGACAATAGGGCAAATCAAATGTCATTCTTACAATCTCGTCATTGGAGATCGCAATATACTCATCGTGGAGAAGGATTGGAGGGCGAGGAGGATTGTCGTTTCAAGCGCATATTAGTGAGGATTGTACAGTGGGCGCATATTAGTGAGGATTGTCAGTTGGACTCCACATCCGAAATCTTCAACGGATTGGAGGGCAGAGAGGATTGTCGTTCCAAGCGCATATTAGTGAGTTTAGTTCTCTGCCAATCAAGGAATTTTTCCCATATCCATTCATCCTTCACGACTGTCGCAGTCTTCACAAACATTTCGAAAAAGATTTTATTCAAGACCTTTTGCAAACCAACCTTCTTTGCATCATCAAACCATTGAGAGAGCTAAGCGCGCGGATGAGGAACACGTGCAACTGGCGGTGGGGGATTGCTATCATCGGGCACCTCAACAACTGTCGCACAATTTCGTGTTTGGGATGGGGCACAGGCAATTCCTTCACCTTCACCACGTTGGGACTTCAAACACGGATCAAGATCATCGTCGAAAAGCACATCAGTAAAGATCGTGCGAAGTGCTCTCAGAACCTGAGTCGCAGTTTCAGGACTAACAACTTTGTTAGTCACCCGATGATCAGGAAGGGTGGGCTCAAGAGCGTCTTACGAAGCCCAAAATATTTTTTTTCACACGTCGACTGGTCCTTCTTTTGAATGTAGATTCAACACGGTCACCGGAACCATCAGTAGAGGTCTCTTCTTTATCATCACTTAACATACATTTACCAGCGTCACCCGACCGATCCCCCTGACAACCATCCCCTTTTGCACGAGAGTCATGACGCCCCTCTTCCACAAACATATTTTCCGCATCCTCGAGCGTGTTCCCTTGAGGAGACACATGCTCATCATCAAGTCCAGGACCAGCACTTCGGGCACATGGTCCAGTTTGAAGGTTGACAGACATTTCATCATTTCTGCTTATTTTCGAGGGTTCTGAACACTACACCCGACTATTGGATGTAACGTTGCCATTAGCATCAGTAAAAGTGTTGGTGCCTGTCACTTTCAGCCTTTTGCTATTAGCATGAGTGTCATACTTGTGGCGCAACAGAGAACCGCCTGCAAAAAAAAAAAAAAAAAAAAAAAAAAACAGGGGAAAAGTATTCGGAGCACTTAGAATCGACGGTCGAAAGAGATACAGACGATAAATGAGAAAAAGTCATTCCAAAAGTTTGTGATAAACAATATTCTTTGTGACGAAATTATTGTCAGGCAACACAACACCAATGTTGTTGGGATGACCAACACGCGACAAAGTAACATACAATTGGCCATGCGCAAAAACAGGTTTGCGCAACCAAACCCCGACACGAGCGACAGTTTGTCCTTGCGACTTGTTTATGGTCGCAGCGAACGAAGACGGATGGGGAACTGCCTCCTATTCCATTTAAACCCCGTGGTTTCACCATCACTTGTCAAATCGATTTTGGGGATCAATGTCGTTTTACCGGTGCGCATTATGGTCACTTCCAACAAATCACCATCAACAATTTTTTTAAGAATCAACCTTGTGTCATTACAAAGTCCTTGTTTGGGCGACAAATTGCGCAACAACATCACAGGCGCACCAATTTTTAAGCGCAATTTGTGAGGCGGATGGCCAGACTCATTGAGAGAATTTAAGAACTCGTGCTCGATGGCAAGTCCGTGATGATCAGAACCAGGGTAATCAACACTATAACTTTCACGTACCTCGCCAGAGAAATCGTTGAGAACAATGTGGTTAACACACCCCGCATCGTCATTAGTAGCGCAGAGAATCAATCAGGCGTAAAAATAGTCAGCATCCCCAATGTGTTCACAGACATCCTCAAACGTCCAAAAAATCAAATCACGAATAGGTTTATCAGTGCAAATCTCATGCGACAGTTTGACCGTAGCAGGTTTGTTAGGAACAAAACGAATATGATCACCATTCTCAATACGTATCAAAAACACGCCATTCATTCGCGCCATTGCATCATCCCCTAAGCTTAAGATCCGCATATTCTCAGTCAGGCAATGGACCTAAAAAAGTATACACAAAGGAGACATTTTGATAGAGGCATCAATTTGCTGTGCTCGAGACCCATGTTTCACAACATGCAAAACCTGTCGAAAGTCTCCAGAAAGAAGCAAAACCTTTCCTCCAAACGGGAGGTTACTGTTACAGAGATATCGAAGCGTAATGTCAAGAGCTTCCAAGTGAAACTTGTTACTCATTGGAGCTTCATCCCAAACGATCAAGTCGGCACGGCGGATAAGTTCGGCAAGATCACTCTGTTTTGGAATATTAAAGGGACACGTGTTATCAGGTTTCAAAGGTGCTCAAAATCGCGAGTGAAATGTTCGACCACCGGTTAAAAGAGTCGCCTCTATCCCACTGGACGCCACAGCGAGTCCAATACCATTACTCGATCTGATCCCCGCTAAAATTGTTTCTATGCAAAAAGTTTTTTCTGTTCCCGCCGGCGAATCTACAAAAGCATAAAACGGTTGTTTCTCTTCCACGGCCCGAATAACTCTTTGCACCAGCAGTCGTTGGTATGGCCGACGACGTCGAAAATTAGACTCAAATTTAGTTCGCATTTCAATCGGATCATACGACAATTCGTCATTTATAATCGAGGAGACAGTCCTGTTCTCGTAATGCCTGTTTATGTTGTCGGCAATCGTTTCTCCATCAGGGGTCGGATAATAAAGACCGAACAGGCGGATGTTTTTGCCAGACTCATGCAAGATACTATCAAGATCAAAGAGCACTAAACATTGCAAAATGATCGGAGGAAGAATCTGAGAGCCCGCACGATACTGAAAATCATCATACATTTTTTCCCAATCTCGTTGAAAGAATTGAACAGGATCGTTGACCCCGGCCCAAACAGCAGAAGCATAGCGAATACTTTACGAACCTCTGCAAGCATATAATGGAGTGCGGCCGTATCTATACACTGATTATATGCATCATCGGTTTGCAAAAGTCTTAATTGAAGACACACCGATCGGAACGAATCATATTCGACTCCATCGACGGTACGAATTTTCGCAAAAGAGTGTGCTCCACGAGAGTGTTCATCATTTAGCAACACACGGAGATAGCCTTCCGTGACCCTTACATGATGCAATCGAGATATCTTTTCGAAAGGAGCACCATGAAGAGCACGTTTTCTTTTGTTCCACACCTTATGTTGATTATCCCACACATGAGTTTTAATAATTTCAGGATACAAAGGAAGCTCGTGTTTAGGAACACGTTCGTTCAAAGAGTTGTGATTCATCCATGCCGTCAATTTTGTGCTTGGCGGTCCACGGGAAACAACATGATCTTTCGTGTCTGGTTCAAAGACCACTTTTTGCATGTTTTCAATATGCACGGGCAATCTTTCGACTACGGGCCACTGTTCAGCAAGGTCGAACTCAAACAGACGTCAGCATGCCGCGCATGCACCAACAACACGCATATCTTGATAGGATTTGACTTCATCGACAGGTGCATTATTATCTTGTTCGCAAACCATGGCACGATCACCCCCTTCATACACATACTTTTACACATACTTGCACGCCTTTATGTTAGCACAACATTCGACATTGATGTGGCAGTTAAACCTCATCAGCAAGTACGGGTTATATGGGACCACTCGACGATTATCAAAAACAACGCGATTTTGAACGACGGTAAAGCTACCGTCACTTGGTTTTCTTCTCCTATACGAAGGGTGAGTTTGTTCATCTTTGAAGGTTGTCATGAAAATGAATTCTTTCGGAAACCCTTTCGTGCACTTTTCGTTCTCGGTACACGAAACATCACTTTTCTCCTCACAGCAAATGCCATGCAACATGAAT